TAATTTTTCTGAAGATCTTTGCATATTGTTTATAGAATTTGCTTGTCATTGAACAGTGCTCAATTGAAATATATTTTCAAGATCTAAATTATCTCATTCACAGACAGTACTGTTTCACTGTATCACAGCTCCTCAATATATATATATATATATATATATATATATATATATATATATATATATAGTGAGATACACAGAGATATCAACATTTCATCTTGCATTATGAATGTCCAGATTAAACATAAAAATGTTAAGCATTACATTTCCTTCGGTTCACCATGTCAAATATGTACCTTTTCTCGGATGTCCTGAAGCCATGTCTTTTGTACAAAGAAACACTCAGCTCGATTTAGTAAACTGCCGTCTTCTAGGAACCATCATTCCTTACGGTCTCGGGCTATGTTATATCTATGGCGCAGAACCGTACGTCAAAACCTTGTTTAACTTACGGCGTGACAACTTCTGTTGAGATGACGGGAACTTTGCTCGAAGTTCTTGTCCATGTTGATGATAATCGAAAATATTCGGCGAAGCTTGGATTTTACAAGCATTTGGAAGCATTATTCGTTGTTCTTATTTTTCTTTCCATTTTTCTATCTGCACAAATCTGGCGAAAGACAGAAAAGACAATTACTTAGTTCAGTTATAAATTATATTCGGATCTTATTTTAATGGCGAATGTTTCATCTTAACTACAATTCATACGCAGAAGTTAAAAAGAAATAGTGTACACTGACATATATTAATTTTTGAACGGTTGTGAAAACATACGCAGTGATTTGATTGATTTAAATATTAATTACATTATTTTTAAAAAGTCAACAGCAACAATATTTAATCACATTTGTTTATTAGACATTAAATGTCCATAATTGACGAAGACATTTAGATCATCTGCTGAATATTTATAAACGTTTCTTAAATTTAAAAAAAATGAAATATTAATGACACTTTTACTCTTGTTTAAAAAAAAACTTGTTGGAAAATAAAATCCTTACATTTGCCTTGATAAAGTTCATCGGAGGACGAAACGTGTCGGCTAAGATAACTCTTCCTTCCCCCATTGTGGAGTAATAGATTATGGCTCGGATGGAAGAATCGGTGAGTCGAGTTTGAGCTTAAGTCGAATTCGTTATATTCACTTACATGTGAATACTCTTAGGAATGGTATGGGTTCATCACTTCTAACCTCCATCTATTGGTAAATATTACGACAGTCCTTTAGCCTTGGATGGCGAAATATCTAGGAGGAGGACACGTCTGAATTCAAAACCTGCGCGGGGTTTGTTTGTACACTAGTGGCACACTATGCATGTTCTCTGTATTCACCTCTCCCCCAAAGTGTAGCCTATTCTTCACAAGCCTTGACTGTTATAACCAAATGATATGTACGGTGGTCGTCTAACAGTTGATACTAACAACTGAACTGCTTGATCGTCATACGTCGAAAACGACCGCAGAGTTCAGTATAGAAGTATGAACAGTGTGCGATCTGTAAATTGTCGCTATTTTATATTTTTAATTACGCGCATGCGCGTTGATTCTTTTTAATTTTGTCGACTGCACAGTATAATGCGTTTAGTTGGGCACCGTCTGTGAGAAAGAAAACGTCAAAACTCAATTAACTTCACCAGAAATTTGGAAACGACATGCTGTACTGCTTGGCATTCGCACCGAAAGCTCGCATACGAACATTTCAAAATGTTTGGGTGTCAATCTGGGGACAGTGCAGAGGATTCGGAAAGAGTTGTGTGAGTCTAATGGTGATTATGAAGGTGTTTGCAGTATCCCTAGTGATGATGACGTTATGCCTTCATTCATCTTCTCACAAACTCAACACGGGGACCTATATCAAGTGCCTTGAGGATGTAGTGTTGCTCTGGGTCAAGAACGTGGCTGCTCGAAGATCCCATGTTTTGCAACGGGACTCAGTTACGGCGGTCAGACAATTCTGAAACAACATCACCGCTTATATCTGGCCATGTTTCAATGTTTATGTTTTGGTATGTTTCGTGAGGAGATATGATTATTCGGGAAAGACAGTCGAAGATTTGCTGTTTATAAACATTAATTTGGACATTAATTCAGACGCTTCTTTACGGCTGAATGGTTAACGCCACATCAGATCAAATAATGGTTCCCATTGAGGTTACAGATTCGATTCCTGTCGGAAAAGCATATTTTCTACGAAGTTTCCCGAACATTCAGGCCGGTCAATGTAATTAACAGTGTTTATTAAAAAAAAAAACCCAAAACAGAACATTTACTTACATAAATTGTATCAATTAAAAATAACGTGTAAACAGAAAATATAGCCCATGACACATATCGTCTGTGTGTGTATATATATATATATATATATATATATATATATATATATATATATATATATATATATATATATATATATATATATATATTTATATATATATATATATATATATATATATATATATATATATATATGTATAAATAAATATTATATATATTTTTATGCTTATATATATTTTTTTAAATTATATATTATCTATATTTATATATTTATATTATATATATATATATATATATATATATATATATATATATTTATATATATATATATTTATATATATATATATTTATGGGTATATATATATTTATGCTTATATATATATATATATATATATATATATATATATATATATATATATATATATTTTCGTTGCATTTCATTTTTGGAAGTGCAATCTGATGATCCGGCGTCCTTTAAAAGGGTTCTGACGAAATAAATTATTATAATGGTACCTTAAAATGGTCTGTTTTTCTTTTAAATATATATATATATATATATATATATATATATATATATATATATATATATATTATCTAATTTTTCTTGTGTTCGAACAAGTCTTTTCATTTTTGGACACATAGTGTGTAGAAACTGTATAAATGTTCTAGAATTCCGAGCGAAGAAAGCTTTACTTTTAACCATTATCAAGGAATGGTTTTATTTTTGCTTTTTAATTGGAGTCTGTTTTGTGTGAGTGCTTAAATAGATTTTAAATAGAGCTGTGGTCAGATAGGTGTAGCGTAAGACGTCTGGATAGGCATGTAAACGTGTGAACGATGTAATTATGAGTTTGGTTTGATGAGGAACACAGTTCTTTAAGGGGTATGTGAAGTCACAAATAATGTTCATTCGTTGCAATTAAAACTTACCAGACTCCACCCGAAACATACTAGTAGAAATTACAAACATAACAACAACTTCATCCACATGTAAAAACGATTTAAAATACTGGAAGTCTTAATAATAAAAAAGAAAAAGCTAGCACTTAATATTAACTACGAACACGACCACAACGTGCTGTGTTCGGAAAATAAAACATCCCTCTAACTCTAAAAATATAAACACAACTCATACACCCAATTAAAAGCAAAAATAAAATCATACTTGATAATAGCTAAAACTATCGCCGAAAGTGCTCGTAATAATATAACCTTTGGCCAGTTTATACAGACGATGTCCCAAAAGGATAACACTTGTTCGAACACAAGAAAAATTAAATAAAAAAGATTAATCGTATTAACTTGTCTGTTGCCTTTAATAAAAGACACACACACACACACACACACACACACACACACACACACATATATGTGTATGTGTGTGTGTGTATGTGTGTGTATGCATGTGTGTATATATATGAGTTTGTATTTGTCTGTATAACTATGTGTGTGTATATATGTGTCTGTATAACTATGTGTGTGTATATATATATGTCTGTATGTATATATGTGTGTGTGTGTGTATATATATATGTATGTATATATATATGTGTGTGTATATATATGTGTGTTTGCATATATTTTTATATATGTGTGTGTACATATAATTATGTGTGTATATACATGTGTGTATATATATGTGTGTGTGTGTGTGTGTGTGTGTGTGTGTGTGTGTGTGTGTGTGTGTGAAAACTAGTAAAGCAGACGCAATCTATGAAAACCATTTTTTGGATTATGAATTCAATATTTTATCTGGATCGTATTTACGCCATTACTGAAGATGTCCGTTTTCGGCTACATAAATAGATTTACTTATTTTCTTTTACTTGCTGATATTTTAATTTGGTTTCATAAGACAATAATCATTCGGTAAAACGAAGACAACGCATTTCAGGAGATGACGTTTCGGAAACACAGTTTCGCAACATCGATCGAATTGAAATACTCGGAAAAGCAAAAAAAAAAAAAGGAACAATTTGAAAGAATAAGAAACAGAAATGTAATCTGTTTAACATTATGGAAAGAAATGAAAACAAAATAAAGAAAATAATACCTGAAAAGATGGAAATAAATTAGTCATTTAAAAAATAGCGAAAGTTTAAGTGAATTTGTATTGCGTTGTTGTAATTATAGGAACACAGATGGTATTTAACGGAAAATCTTTGATCATGTTACATCTTTGAACGAAAGGTGAGAGGAAACGGAGTGAGAGAGAAAGAGAAATAGAGAAGGGAAGAAGTGAGAGGGAAAAAGACAGAAAGAAAATGAATAAAAAATGGAAGAGAAGGAAAGATAGTAGTTAAGAGAAAAAGAAAGAAAAAGAGAAAGAGAAAGAGAGAGAGTGAGAACAGAACGATACAGCGGTTATGAAACAGCAAAATAGAAATAAAGGTGAGGGAAAGAGAAAGAGAGAGAGAGAGAATGAGGGAGATATAGATGGCTGACAAAAAGAGAGAGAGGCGGAGGAAAAAGGAGGAAAAAGTAATAATTGAAAAGAAGAGAAACAAAATAAAAAGAGAAGAGATATCAAGAAAGAAAGAAAGAAAGAAAGAAAGAAAGAAAGAAATGAAAGAAAGAAAGAAAGAAAGAAAGAAAGAAAGAAATATCAAGAAAGAAAGAAAGAAGGCTATAATATTGCAGAGAAGAAATATCAAGAAAGAAAGAAAGAAAGAAAGAAAGAAATATCAAGAAAGAAAGAAAGAAGGCTATAATATTGCAGAGAAGAAATATCAAGAAAGAAAGAAAGAAAGAAAGAAAGAAAGAAAGAAAGAAATATCAAGAAAGAAAGAAAGAAGGCTATAATATTGCAGAGAAGAAATATCAAGAAAGAAAGAAAGAAAGAAAGAAAGAAAGAAAGAAAGAAATGAAAGAAAGAAAGAAAGAAATATCAAGAAAGAAAGAAGGCTATAATATTGCAGAGAAGAAATATCAAGAAAGAAAGAAAGAAAGAAAGAAAGAAATGAAAGAAAGAAAGAAATATCAAGAAAGAAAGAAAGAAAGAAAGAAATGAAAGAAAGAAAGAAAGAAATATCAAGAAAGAAAGAAAGAAGGCTATAATATTGCAGAGAAGAAATATCAAGAAAGAAAGAAAGAAAGAAAGAAAGAAATATCAAGAAAGAAAGAAAGAAGGCTATAATATTGCAGAGAAGAAATATCAAGAAAGAAAGAAAGAAAGAAAGAAAGAAAGAAAGAAATGAAAGAAAGAAAGAAAGAAATATCAAGAAAGAAAGAAGGCTATAATATTGCAGAGAAGAAATATCAAGAAAGAAAGAAAGAAAGAAAGAAAGAAATGAAAGAAAGAAAGAAATATCAAGAAAGAAAGAAAGAAAGAAAGAAATGAAAGAAAGAAAGAAAGAAATATCAAGAAAGAAAGAAAGAAGGCTATAATATTGCAGAGAAGAAATATCAAGAAAGAAAGAAAGAAAGAAAGAAAGAAAGAAAGAAAGAAATATCAAGAAAGAAAGAAAGAAAGAAAGATGCAAAGAATTCCAAAGAGAATAGAAGGAATTAATGAGATACGAATGGTAACTAAAATAAACAAACAAAAATAGATTGAAAATATAAGTAAAATTTAATAACAAGAAATAAAGAACATGTAAAGTATTAAAATGATACAATTGAAAAATGAAGCAAATGGCGACGGATAAATGAGAGAGGAAAAAAAAGGTCAAACCCGAGGCCGGAGAGAGAAGAAATCGACAAAGATCAAATATTGTAGAAAAGATGAGGATGTATATATGAGAGAGAGAGGGAGGGAAGGGAAGAGAGATGAAGAGAGAGAAAGAGAAATTATAAAATGAAAGGAGGGTGGAAAAGAGAAAGGCAAACGAAAGAAAGGGAAAGAGAAAAAAAAAGAAAAAGTATGTAAAAGAAATACGAAAAAAAGAGAGAATAGTAGAGGGGATAAAATAATGATAGATACATGCTTACACTGATATATAGAGAGAAAGAAACATAATGAGAGGAGGAGAAAGAGCAAACGGGCAGAGAAGGAAAGAAACAGGCACAAAAGGCTAATGAGAGAAAATTAACAAATAAAAAAGAGAATAAAATAAGAAAAAAGAAAGAAAGAAAAAAGCGAAAATAATAGTAAGACGGAATTAAGTAACGTCGGAGGAGAGTGGTAGAAAAAGACAAAAAGATGGTAAGATGGATGAAAGGATGATATTAGATAAGCATAAAATGAAACAGGAGGGGTGATGGTAGGAAATAAAAATAAAATCTAAAGAGGTATAGAGAGGGAAACTATCTAGAGAAAGAGACAAATAGAGAAGAGGGCAAAGGGAGAGCAATGTGAAAAGAATAATTTGGCTCTAATGTAAATCTACAACTTAAAATACCAAAAACTACTAAATAATGCTCTCCAAATAAACGTAAAAATCTATGTAACATTCACGTGGAAAAACGAAAAGAACATGAAAGAAAATGGCAAATTAGTATAATGTCGGCGTTATTTCGACAACGAAGGACCGAGTAATCAAATTGCAACGTTTAAGAAAATGATACCACTATAGGAAAGGTAATGAGGATGAGGAAAATGCGAATGAAACAATGTCATTACAATTCATTGGAAAATTCTTTTATTTATTTTCTCACTGGAAACCTATGAATGAATTATCTGTATAAATCAGTGTGACTTCTTCAAATTTTAGAAAAAAAAAAAAACAAAAAAAAACATTCGCACCTTTTTTCTTTACCGGATAACATCTTCTGTATTGCCATCACCCCTGTCTAAATATTATTTCTTAGTTTGGTGTTCTCTACAGAATAGATCGACAGATAAAATATTTACTCCAATCTTTAGAAAAATGAAAAACAAAACAAATCTACCCTTTGATTGTTTTAGATGAACTACGAGCCATCGTCCCTGGTGGGACAATTCTAACAGTTTTAATATCAAATGTCATGACACGGACTTAATGTTCTTTGATCGTCTGTGGCCCTGAAAGACATGGACAATCATGAGCTTCCATTATTTTCTATACTCTGTAGCTCTAAATAATCTTTACCCCATCGGTGTTTTCCCTTGCAAATTTACCATTTATAAATACAAAGAAATCTATGAGGATTTGCGTAAGGAATATGTCTCAGAAAATGAAAAAAAGGGCATATTTTGAAATGATTCTCTTCGTAGGCAGAAACATCTTGCTACAAGGAATTGTTTTACGACGCTGATGGAATGCAAGTAACCTTCTTCGGAGGAAACTGAGTTTATTAAATATCAGGAAGAAGGAGTTAGGATAATGGCGGTTAGCGTGAAGGATCAGGCAAAAATAAACCGAATTTAGAATGCTAATTTACAGAAGAGGACCACATAATTTAGTAGTGATTTTCGAAGCCCGGCTTAGATGTGGCACAAGACCGAAAGTATGGGGCAACCAGTGAGCTGGAACTCACTACTCAGTCGTAATTGATCTAGAAAGACAAGCTTTGCTAGACATTACACCACGTCGAGGTGTCCAGCCACATAATTTAGTATATCTGTAGATGAGATTTTCTAGAATAACAGTTATACTAGAAAGATATCCGAGTATTCCGTAACATCTACCGGGAACAAAATGCCTGCACACGGACAAAAATCATGATTACAGAATATATAATAATGTAAAGAGGATTAAAATGAGCGCTCGTTTTCTCACTGAAGACGATCTAAAGGGAAGAAAATCATTTAACCGGTATTATTACTGGTGGACGTAAAAAAAAGAAAAGAATATAGGATTATGATGGTAGCCTCAATATATATGATTTTAAAATGAGATACAGAACTCCCGACAAAGCTTTTACGAAATTTAACAAATGGAAAACGTTCCATTGAAAGTAGATTTGATTGAAAATAGATCTGATTACGCGTTTCGACATTCAAGTCGTAATCAGAAAACGAAACAAAGAAAGGTGTGTTTGTGTGTCGGCTTAAATAATGAATCATAACACTTTTTTTCCCTAAGCTGGCGTTTCTCGTGATTAAAAAAAAAAGAAAATGAGTGACTTAAAAAAGCCGATAATATTTATTTTGTATCTTTGTTTATCTTTCTTTGTTCATATCGAAAGTTGTTAATATATTTTTTGTATCGAATTAAAGGCAAATCCTCATCTCATTTTCAGAATGGCTCGAAAGTAAGAAATTCATATGGCCTTTTCTTAATTATATATATATATATATATATATATATATATATATACAATGTAACCCGGATATAAGAGAGTTATTGTGACCGGAGAAGAAGTCTCTTATATCCGGGTTTCTCTTGTATCCGGGTTTGGTCTATTTTGTTTAGGCAAGTATGGCAACACTTTGGGACCAGAGAAAATTTCTCTTATATCCGGGTCTCTTATATCCGGGTTTCTCTTATATCCGGGTTTCTCTTATATCCGGGTTTCTCTTATATCCGGGTTTCTCTTATATCCGGGTTTCTCTTATATCCGGGTTTCACTGTATATGCAAAAAGTGTTAGAAAAAAATAGGAATTTGAAAAAACAAGTAATTTTTATATATTTTTTATGTAATATTTATAATAAATGCATGCGCAATGATATGTAAATGAACTACAGTGTAACCCGGATATAAGAGACCCGGATATAAGAGAAACCCGGATATAAGAGAGATGTTATCTGGTCCCAAATTAGAGCCCATACTTACCTAAACAAAATAAACCAAACCCGGATATAAGAGAAACCTGGATATAAGAGACTTCTTCTCCGGTCCCGACAACTCACTTATATCCGGGTTACACTGTACTATATAAAAAGTACAGAGTTATCTTCTCTTTCCTTGGAAAGTTCTTTTGCTTCTCACTGTCCAGTCTATGGCCTGCCGTAAAGTCGAATTTCTTTCCGGACGAGTTGAATCGTATTTGTCACAAACAATTTTTTACAATTAGAAATTTGCTTTAATTTGCTTTAAACTTGAGTTTATTTGATTGACTTTTGGATATTCTTTTGAATTTTCTTTTTGAGTTTTTTTTCTCTTTGTATTTTGATAACACTCATCTAGCTTGAAGCAAGTTTTCATTTGAGTTTGGTTAATCTTCTATTTTCTTTTAATTTGCTATAATTGTTTTGGGGTTTATACGTGTTCCCTTCTCCTTGTTTTTCCTTTCGTATTTTCTCTAAACCCCGTCTAGCTGGAAGCTAGTTTTCATTTGAGTTTGGTTAATCTTTTATTTTCTGTTTCCTTTAATTTGCTGTAATTGGTTTTTGTTTTATATGTCTTTCCTCCTCTTTTCGTACAAAATATATATATATATATATATATATATATATATATATATATATATATATATATATATAGATAGATAGATAGATAATATTAGTGGAAAATATACATACGTATGCAAAATATATAAATACACATACATGTATATTTTCAGAAAAAAATTTTCAAGAGGAAGAATCCAGGTAGAACTCAATGTCTAGGACAGAGTAAGGATATAATAAAAAGGGTTAAACACTAATATTCCATGGTCATAATTTATTCCATTGGAATCGTAAATACGATCCAATTCATCAGACCTACAAATTCAAAATGAAAACAGAAAAAAATCACTCCGGAAGTGAAAACAGAATTTAGAGAAAGTGTAAATATGAGGAGGGGGGAGATTGAACCTTAACAGAGAGAATTTTAGGAGAGGTGGTGGGGAGGGTTTTAGATAAGAGAAAAGAATGAATGTCGACGGATGTCTAATGCATAAAGATACATTTCGTGGTGACATACACACACCATCGACAATTTAATGCAAGAATAATAGGGAGGGAAAGGGAAAGAGGAGTTAGGGGAGAGATGGGACGATAGAAAGTAAAATTGCGTTTATTTAAAGGGCCGATTTGTAGTTGAGAAAATTTGACAAATTTAATATCGACTACAGGTTACAAATCAAATATAAATATATGAAGATAAATATAACGATTGTCTAATCCAGCAAGGACCTATATTTCTATGTTCAAAGACACATGTGAATACACACAATAACATATACATGTATATACATCCACGTAGGCGTGTACCCACACACACACATACAAACGTGTACACACATATAAAAAATATAAAAATATAAAAAAAATATATAATCACATATCCACACATACACATATTCATCAATATACATATACACACACTTTTCACATACACGCACACCCACATACACATATATATACATATATATATATATATATATATATATATATATATATATATATATATATTATATGATTCTTGTGTGCTAAGTGATTTGAAGACCAAATTTTTAATTATTTGTCTGTGGTTGTGCCAGGTAAACATTTTGGAATGTCCCGAGACACCGCCGGTGCAGGTGAAACAAACTGCACCTCCAAAAAAATCGCTTGGACTGAAAACAGACCCTCAAAAGAGGCAGATTACTTTGCGCGACTTGAGGCAAAGTATGAGGATTATACAAGAGGAAATGAGTCTCTCACTATTCCTGAAATGCTTAACGCTGTGAATACGAAAACAATATCCCTGCTGACCACCGATGTAAAAACTCGGAAATAATTGGGGTCAGCAGAGAAGCAATGGAGGAGGCGCTAAAGACCCTCAAAATTGGGCCAAAGGTACTGGCGAGAAGATCGAAGGCCAGGTGGAACATCCTGCTGATCTCAGAGCAAGAGGCCAGCCAGTTAACTGGAAATATATTAACGGCAAAACAGTTCGAATATATAGGCACACGAAAGACAATGATGGACGACCATGGTGTTCCCGTAGATATTACTAACGGACGGATGTGGGTCTATTTCGCCCGATAGGGACAAGTAGAGTATGTCTCAGGAATAATAAGTAAAGTATTATTATAGTGGATTATGTTCTACAGGTAATATTGAGCGACAAGAGTTTTCTTCAGAAATCCCCAATATTCTAATATGCCGGGAAAAAAGGAAGCCTGTGGTTATAAAAGGCCGTCGACCCTACTGCTGATCGTATGGTGACTCGTGCCCCAGTAAGAACGCGGCGCCCAAAAGCTCTCCCAAAAAGAAAGACCAACCGCAGAAGCAGTGGATGAACAAAAACAGAAGCCACAACAAAAGCAGAAGCCACAACAAAAGCAACAATGGCAAATCTTAGATATGGAAATGCTGCCACCTCCGTCCCTCTCTTTGAAAAGGAGAGTGAGGAAGATGCCGGAGAAAAGGTGGGGAAAATTACCAAGAAAGAGAAGCGAGCTGGAGAAGTGTGGAGAAAGGCATTAAAAATCCAAGTCCCAATCTGTCCCAGCTTCACCAGCAAAATTTGAAGGTGCAACCCCAAAGTCAAGAAGCCTCCTATTTCACTTTCTAGGACTTCCACTTTCACCCCTTCAAAAGCGTCCAAAGAAAAAAAAATCCTCAGAGAGGAGAAATCTGCCAAATAGCCAGAACTTGGACAGGAACCTTTCTACTCAGAAAGACTCCTTCTTGGGCCCGTTA